CTAAAAATACATGCTTCACTATTCCAGCCATAAAAATACATTCTTCATATAATGTTTTGAGGCATCTACTGATTGATGACCACCTGATGAAGGGCGATGCCCGAAAATGTTTGTTTTTTTTACCATTAAACGTTACAGCTACTCTACACTTTTGCTTTATGTGTTTTATTAATATATATATATATATATATATACATACAGCCAGTGAATGCCACAGTGAAAGAAGCTACTTTTGTGAACATGCACACAGATCAATACTCAACATCTTGAGAGTGTTACTGTTAAGGCCTACTCAGACGGCGTTGTACAACATATCCCAATGTGATTTATTGCTGGGGACAGTATTGAGCCTCGGTGAGAAATATTAAACAAGTTTAATATTCTACGACTCGACTGCCCCCGACACAAACCATCGCATCTTTCTTTGACTCACACAGACCTGACACAACAAACTGCATCAGGCTGCGTCGTACGATGCTGTCTGAGTTGGCCTTTACAGAGCTCTGCCACATCTGTTTTTCAGATGCGCATTCACATGGATACAAAAACTACCAGGGGATGCATGCTAAATTTTTTCTAGGATTGAAAACTTCAAACATTATTTTTTTCATGAATCGGGTATTAGATAAAGATGAACGTCTATGGATGAACTATTGAACTTGATTCAGATATGGAGCTATATAAATGTTAATCAGCAATCTATTGACAAGACAAGACAGAAAAATTAATAATTGTTAATGGTCTTTGGCATAGTTTTGTAGTGAAAGGTTGCATATTTTACAGACAAAAAATTAACCACAAGTTTTCTTTAACACAGTAAACTTATACAGTTGACTGTGTCATAAGTACTTGAATGACTTGTAGCTATTGAAGTTTAACTGGCGTGTAAATTGCTTTCTACCTCACCTATAACAAGACTACAACACATAATATCTATAACACAGCTACCCACACTTTCGCATTTTTATGGCCTTTGTTTTTCATTCTGCAGAATGCATTGACACATGCCATAATTGCATTCTGTTTAAAACTTGTATTCACACCTTTGTTGTGAAAAACAGTTTTTGACTGACTGTGAAAAAAAAAATGTCCAGGTACTACCAGAATCACCAAAATGACAAGGAGGCCAATAGAAATGCTGTTTTGTGATAGGTGATATGCCTTTTGTATGTCTCTATGTGCAGATAGACAAAATTGCCACTCTCACTCGCATCCAGAATGGACTTTTCAGAGTGTAAATCAAATTATAACAAGTGACCAATCCGGGCTGTACCAGGAATAAATTATGTGCTTTTTTCAATATACCTGTGATGTATATACCCTGTCTCTTATACACATCTAGATGTGTATAAGAGACAGCTATCGTCGTGATGCCAGTATCCGTGACTTACTTGTACATTCTTCACTTCAACCTATTTCTGAAAGACCTAAAGGTTCGACTACTCCTTGCAATCGACCGAGGTGTAAGACCTGTCTCTTATACACATCTAGATGTGTATAAGAGACAGGTATTTAACTTTATTTTATGATTATTATATAATTTAACAGTGTTAACGGATATCTTGATTTATAAAAAAAAAAACAAAACCGAAAGGTCCACTGATTAATCTCAGATAAGAAAGTATAATACATACTCCAAGTATTGAAATACACGCCATCGTGTTGGGATTCAATATTGAATCCCAACACGATGGCGTGTATTTCAATACTTGGAGTATGTATTATACTTTCTTATCTGAGATTAATCAGTGGACCTTTCGGTTTTGTTTTTTTTTTTATAAATCAAGATATCCGTTAACACTGTTAAATTATATAATAATCATAAAATAAAGTTAAATACAGTGTTAGAATAAAGGACATGATAATATATCGTGTAGCATTGCTCTCAACGAACGGAGCCTTGTATATAAATGAATAAAGAAATTGTGTAATAAAATGCCTCTGCCGCGTCTCGAACCTGCGAGCTCTCGCTGTAAAGGCGAGCGTCATAACCATTAGAATCAAGCTAATTTCCTATGCTTTTAATCCATTTTGTAATTCATATTATGTTCTCTGTCTTTTCACATTTATTTATATACCTAGATTCATATATTTTTCTACCACATGTTTCCTCTTTTGATAGCCCATCATTATCAATTATATTTATGCACTCAACTGTTTTTTGGTGCTTTTCATTTATTTTTTTAATCAAGCTTTAAATTACATCTTTCTGCCTCTTGTTTTTGGCCAAATCTGCTATTTAGCGTTAATGCGTGACTAAAAATAATGCATTTTATTCCAATTATTTACCTTTGCAAATATGATGAGATTAGTAGAAATATCTTTCTTTGTAGAAGCTCCTCGCATCGTTTTTGTGCTCGTTTTAGTTTTGTGGATCCCGCACACTATAACGACAAACATAATGCTGTTTAAAGCAAGGATCGTTGCCATGGGAATACCTAAGAACATCTGAACAGGAAGACTTTTTCACATGTAAGCTCCTATAATACCTTCTGATCAAAAGCACCTACCACAAAGATACCTCACCTGTTTTGTCAAAATAAATAGGCCTATTTAATACATTTTTTGCCAAAATTTTGGTGGAGCCTACAGGAGGGTTGGCCAATCCAGGATTGTTAGGATTCAATATTTTGACATTATGTCATTATCATCATCAGGAATTATCTTATTCCTGATTATGACATAATTAATGTTGAACTACTGGATCCCAACACGATGGCGTGCATATCAATACGTGGCGTATGTATTATACTTTCTTATCTGACATTAATGGACCTTCCAATTATCTTAGCACCAGTCTCTCAGATTAAAAACACATCTATCAATCTAAGCACCCATCGCTCAGACTAAGCACCTCTCTATAGCACACATTTCTCAACTAAGCACCAATCTCTCAAACTAGCATCTGCCTCTCAAGCACCCGTTTCCCAAAGTAAGAAACAATCTCATAGAATAAGCACCCATTTCTAAAACTAACCACTAATCTTTCAAACTACATATCACCTGTCTTAGAAAATAAGCAAAATTTCCAATTAATCACCAGTCAACTAAGCCCATGCTTCTCAAACTTAGGTACCTGGCTAAGAGCTCGCTCAAATCTTTTTGCATAGGCCCACAGCTTAAAATTAGTTCAGATTTTAGGTACCTGGCTAGAGCTAATTCAATCCTTTTTGCATAGGCCCACAGTTTAAAATAAGTTCAAACATTGTTTTCATCATATAAAAGCCGAAGGCTAGGTTTACTTATATTATTATCATAATAATATGTCAAAAGTTTCAATACTTGAAAGTCTTTTTAGTAATTTTTTCTTAAGTTAGACGTGACTGGCTGATACTGTATATTGTTTTACATTTCTGAAGTGCAAAAAAACTACTTTGTTCTTTTTTCACTGTAACTGTGTGCTATGTTTGTCCGCTTTAAGTGAGGAAGTATAAAATAAATACCTGATTGCTCTGTGCTAGCAAAGAAAACTGAGATTCACTGATTTTACTGACCAAGGACCTATGAATATGTCACAGTTGTCTCTATTGTGAGTCAAGTTTTGAAATCTGGGACAGATCAAGACTCACACATTGACAAAGGTATTCCATCATTTTGAAGCAGGCAAAATATAAAGATGGCTTCACTCACAAATGAGTTAGGGTGTGACTCATATGAATACGTCTAAACTTGCTAGTCAATTTAAACGTACTAATAAAAGAGAAATATATAGTTTATATTTAAAAACTAGTACAGCACCAATATGATACAGGATTGAAAGATTTAAACAGATGAAAGAACTTCAGGTCTCAACAACAAAGACTATTTGAAAAGGAAATCTTGAGAAAAATGTTTAAAAAATGTTGCTGGAAAGAGAAAAATTGAAATAGCTGAAAAGGAAATCCTCCTAAAAAAAACAAGATATCTCACAGAAAGAACATTAAGCTCCCCTTCCTATTTCATGCCAACTTCATTAGGTGGCTCGAAAAAAAAACAGTAAATGAAATATAATGTGAACAAGTTCATCAACTACATTCAACTTTCTTTATCTGAATGTTTTGTTTCTTCTTTACAAATTAAAAGCTGGTCTGATTCTTCTTCTTTCCCGCTTTCATCACAATGTTCTACCAAGTCATACGAAGGTGGTGTGTTGTCATTCTGTGCTTTAAACTGCTCTATGGACCGAAAGGTTTTTGCAATTTTTTGTCTATCAGCAACTGAAATTGTGACTTGACTGTAGCGTGGTGGAATGTCGCTTTGTGCTATCACTTCTTCTTCAACAAAAGATGGACATGGATCAATTGCCGCTGATGAAAAAGAATATAAAAGAAAAGTAACATAAAAAAGATACATAATAAACCATAATTAAATATACGCAATATAGTCCATATAAGCACTCTCATGATATATAAACTGTGATAAGAACTTGTTCAATTCAATTTTTTAAAATATAACTTTTTTCTCTTTTTGATTTAACAACTGGGTAATAAGGCGAAGAGCACAGACTGGATTTTTGGCATGATGAACTATAAAACACTGACTACAATTATTACCCACTTGCATGTGGCACATATCGGATAAAAGAATTAATGTTATTGTCGCTAAAAATGCAAGAATCTATCAAATAAATTTGATTAACATAAACAAACTTGGAGTACTAAATATTCTATTGTATATACAGTACAAGTCAGGTCACCCTACAAAATATTTTAAGCAACCCTATTTTGGTTTGCGCCCTATAGTTTGAATTCCAGGGATTTAAGCAGTTATTTTTTGACATGATTGTAATGCGAAATGATGAATTGTGTATTGTGGGTTCATTACTAATGTAACAAAAGTATTAAGTGTGCAAAAAGAGTTTCATTTCTATCTCCTGGTAAGGTCCACCATGTGGACAAATGCTAGATACAAGATACAAAATTACCTTATTGAAAATTTAAGGAAAATTTGAAATGCACAGAATAATATCTGTCTCTTATACACATCTAGATGTGTATAAGAGACAGGATCAAGACTCACACATTGACCTATGAATATGTCACAGTTGTCTCTATTGTGAGTCAAGTTTTGAAATCTGGGACAGATCAAGACTCACACATTGACCTATGAATATGTCACAGTTGTCTCTATTGTGAGTCAAGTTTTGAAATCTGGGACAGATCAAGACTCACACATTGACCTATGAATATGTCACAGTTGTCTCTATTGTGAGTCAAGTTTTGAAATCTGGGACAGATCAAGACTCACACATTGACCTATGAATATGTCACAGTTGTCTCTATTGTGAGTCAAGTTTTGAAATCTGGGACAGATCAAGACTCACACATTGACCTATGAATATGTCACAGTTGTCTCTATTGTGAGTCAAGTTTTGAAATCTGGGACAGATCAAGACTCACACATTGACCTATGAATATGTCACAGTTGTCTCTATTGTGAGTCAAGTTTTGAAATCTGGGACAGATCAAGACTCACACATTGACCTATGAATATGTCACAGTTGTCTCTATTGTGAGTCAAGTTTTGAAATCTGGGACAGATCAAGACTCACACATTGACCTATGAATATGTCACAGTTGTCTCTATTGTGAGTCAAGTTTTGAAATCTGGGACAGATCAAGACTCACACATTGACCTATGAATATGTCACAGTTGTCTCTATTGTGAGTCAAGTTTTGAAATCTGGGACAGATCAAGACTCACACATTGACCTATGAATATGTCACAGTTGTCTCTATTGTGAGTCAAGTTTTGAAATCTGGGACAGATCAAGACTCACACATTGACCTATGAATATGTCACAGTTGTCTCTATTGTGAGTCAAGTTTTGAAATCTGGGACAGATCAAGACTCACACATTGACCTATGAATATGTCACAGTTGTCTCTATTGTGAGTCAAGTTTTGAAATCTGGGACAGATCAAGACTCACACATTGACCTATGAATATGTCACAGTTGTCTCTATTGTGAGTCAAGTTTTGAAATCTGGGACAGATCAAGACTCACACATTGACCTATGTATTCCATCATTTTGAAGCAGGCAAAATATAAAGATGGCTTCACTCACAAATGAGTTAGGGTGTGACTCATATGAATACGTCTAAACTTGCTAGTCAATTTAAACGTACTAATAAAAGAGAAATATATAGTTTATATTTAAAAACTAGTACAGCACCAATATGATACAGGATTGAAAGATTTAAACAGATGAAAGAACTTCAGGTCTCAACAACAAAGACTATTTGAAAAGGAAATCTTGAGAAAAATGTTTAAAAAATGTTGCTGGAAAGAGAAAAATTGAAATAGCTGAAAAGGAAATCCTCCTAAAAAAACAAGATATCTCACAGAACGAACATTATGCTCCCCTTCCAACTTCATTAGGTGGCTCGAAAAAAAAACAGTAAATGAAATATAATGTGAACAAGTTCATCAACTACATTCAACTTTCTTTATCTGAATGTTTTGTTTCTTCTTTACAAATTAAAAGCTGGTCTGATTCTTCTTCTTTCCCGCTTTCATCACAATGTTCTACCAAGTCATACGAAGGTGGTGTGTTGTCATTCTGTGCTTTAAACTGCTCTATGGACCGAAAGGTTTTTGCAATTTTTTGTCTGTCAGCAACTGAAATTGTGACTTGACTGTAGCGTGGTGGAATGTCGCTTTGTGCTATCACTTCTTCTTCAACAAAAGATGGACATGGATCAATTGCCGCTGATGAAAAAGAATATAAAAGAAAAGTAACATAAAAAAGATACATAATAAACCATAATTAAATATACGCAATATAGTCCATATAAGCACTCTCATGATATATAAACTGTGATAAGAACTTGTTCAATTCAATTTTTTAAAATATAACTTTTTTCTCTTTTTGATTTAACAACTGGGTAATAAGGCGAAGAGCACAGACTGGATTTTTGGCATGATGAACTATAAAACACTGACTACAATTATAACCCACTTGCATGTGGCACATATCGGATAAAAGAATTAATGTTATTGTCGCTAAAAATGCAAGAATCTATCAAATAAATTTGATTAACATAAACAAACTTGGAGTACTAAATATTCTATTGTATATACAGTACAAGTCAGGTCACCCTACAAAATATTTTAAGCAACCCTATTTTGGTTTGCGCCCTATAGTTTGAATTCCAGGGATTTAAGCAGTTAGTTTTTGACATGATTGTAATGCGAAATGATGAATTGTGTATTGTGGGTTCATTACTAATGTAACAAAAGTATTAAGTGTGCAAAAAGAGTTTCATTTCTATCTCCTGGTAAGGTCCACCATGTGGACAAATGCTAGATACAAGATACAAAATTACCTTATTGAAAATTTAAGGAAAATTTGAAATGCACAGAATAATATAAAGTAAAAATATTAAAAATCCACCAGTTAAATCAGTTGAAATAAGAAAGCTGGAGAACTCCTTACAACCTTAAAATAAATAAATAAATTAGAGCTAATAAATATTTTAGGGTGCTGAGTCTCTTATATCTCTAATTATGTTTAATGATCTTAAAGATGACAGTCTTCATTTTGTAGATATTTCAAAATTTATTTACAGTGAAACATCAATATTAAATATCTTTGATATTAAGAAATAACCAATGTCACTGATCATGATTTCAGCAGATATCAAGAATAAACTAGACTTACCTACACTCACAAGTCGCGAGTCATGTGCTCGCCTATCATATATTTCATTATCTTGCGGTTTTTTTAAAAGAGAGACAAAAGCTAGACAAGATAACACAACCATGATTGCTATAAATGACACACCTCCGATAATAGCTGCAAGAGATGAGAAGTTACCGTAACCATCATCACCTGTAAAAAAAAAACACATCAGAAATTAAAAAGTTATCAAATAAAAAAAATATTGAGAGAGTGGCTACACAAGGATTTAACTGACAGGCAGTGAAGGAAAATAATCTGTCAGTTCAACAAAGTCCCAGAGTACTAAACCACCTGGCAGCTAGACAAACTGTGCAATGTTGCTCCATTGAAAGAGAGACTAACATAGGTAAATTGCCTTGCCTATGGATGCAAGGGACTAGCACAGATAAAGAATACTGAACCTCCAACCTGAAGGTTGAGTGTCCAAGCCACAACCGTTGCACCAACCGCTGTTGAAAAATGTTTTTCTAACAAAGAAAAAAATGCTATCAGTTTACTTGACTCAGGGGCTACTGGCGGCTAATGCTACATTTTGTTGTCGTTGGATTGAGACAGATTTCATATAGAAATAATTGTACGTAATGATAGGAATACATAATAATTAAAAGGATATATATATATATATACTGTCTCTTATACACATCTAGATGTGTATAAGAGACAGTAATATGTCATCATCAGGTATGCTGATTGCAGATAATGTATACATTATGTCATTGGAAATCCATGTGTGTTCTTCAAATTATATATCAGTCATTGAAACAAAAAATTGTGACAAGACATGCCCAACTCGAAACATTTTTGGAGGGCCACGTAACCGTCTTGAGAAATTGAAAAAAAAAAAAAACAAATAACAAAGATATGTTTCAACATTGAGAAAAGAGTTTTAATAAAGCTGCTTCAATGTTACAGCGAATAGTGGGGTAGATGCAGCATTTGGTGGTAGGGGTTCTGTGAGAGTCTACACCACTTCAGTCGCACCAGGAACGCGCAGTGAAGTAAAAAGTTTGCGGAATGCTGCTATAGAACACTGTATTTATTTTTGAAAGAAATTTTTGACCAGTCCTCTGGCCTTCATCAGCTTCAGCAAATAATGTATATATATATCTATATCTATATATATGTGTGTGTGTGTGTGTGTGTGTGTATATACGTGTGTGTGTGTATATATATATATATATATATATATATATGTATTTATGTATAAATTAATGGTTGTACTGTACTATAAACATGCTGTTGAATTGAGTGCCTCTATCTTTTTAATGTCCAAGCTTTTTAATTTGATTAAAATCATTTTTGTCTAAATGTTCAAAACTCAATCAATGGCATTACAAAGAGGGCTGAGGTGCTATGGCTTGTTCAAAATTAAGCCTATAATCCTATAAGACAAATTACCAATTTTAAAAATACAGTACAATAAAAAAAAATTTCAATCTAAAATATTAAAATGATTGCACATAAAAATATATATTTACTTATATCTTCACATGATAAACCAGTGAAACCCTGTGGACAGGAGCACTTCCCAAGCACACAAGTACCATTATTTTGACATTCTGGGTCACAGAAAATATCGTGTGTAATGGTCACATCCATTGTTGGTGACAAAATATCTAAAATTAAAAAAAGGATACATTTATATATTTTCAAAATGTATAAGATCATTGACCTCAACAATTGCAACTTCATTTATAAAATCTAAATCTATATATTTTATATATTTATTCTTTCTTTATACTGAATATACACTTTCAATACAGGGTTTCCAAAGTGGTTCAGTTCTTAACTACAAAATTTTAAAGGCAGATATATACATATGGTAACCAAAAAAGATGAATAACTTAACTACAAATTAAAATAGATTTAAAAGGAACATTGAAAAGAAACTTAAGAAAAATAAAAAAATTTAAATAATAAATATAGATATGCAAGGTAAGAGAAAATCAGGTTAAATTAAGATGGTATTATTAAGTATTTGAAATAGAATGCTTAAAATGTGTAAGTGTCATAGATTTATTAAAGTTGGTTTTAGTATGATCTGGGAGTTTATTCCATAAAATAGTAGATCGGTATATACAAAAGTTCTTTCACCTTGCATATTATTCCAGGTGTATTCAATTAGTGTATTTTTACTTTGCTTGCGAGCAAATTATAATTAAAAACAAATTTTTTCGATAAATATGATGGAGCATGACCATTTAAACATTTGAAAATCATTATGAGCAATTAACATCTCGACGAGATTTGATTGACAGATAAACTGACTAATCAGCGAGCGTCATTTAGTCACATGATCAAAAAATTTTTTAAAAAACATTTTAATTTCCTTAGACAGCTGGTTTAAACGCGAAACATATGTGAGCCTAGGCCTAGATGTCTAGGCTTGGTTATAGATACCCAGATTTACATGAGCAGTGCGCATCAATGACTTGGCCTTTGCCGACAATGAGGTTGACTGAATGCGGCTTTTCCCTCTTCCTTTGGGAGCGATATACACACGCTTTTACAACAATTTCCCCGCCATTTTCCATGAAATAGATTAACACTATGAATATATGATTCATTTGCATACCGCCGACCCTGAATTCTCTTTCTTAAAGAAGGTTGATAGCAAAAGAAATCTTCGCCAACTCGGTAAGTCTAGCCACCCTTGTCTAAGGTTTTCGTGACTTTGTGGGCGGGGCTTCGCATCCTTGTCAACATGTCAATTGTTCGTCCCATTCATCACTGAGTTTGCTCCACCCTAACAAACTTAAAATATTTACAACTTGGGTTTTTATGTCTGCAGGAAATAAAATTCTTCCTAATCTGTTTAAAAGTACTTGAAGTGAATTTGAAAGTTTAATGTTACAGTTGGACCAAACACAATTACAGTAATCAAAAAGAGGCATAACTAGAGCATTAGCCTACATTGCATTGGTTACAAAGATCATAAGTTTAGTTTTTTAAATATTTAATGTAAGTTTATTTTTATCAATTGAAACCATTCAGCAACTTTGATTAAATTTGAATTTAGTTCATTTTGGAGAAGAGTGGGATCGGAAGAATCGCATAAAATGGTAGTATCGTCTGCATACATTACACATTTACATTGAGTGACATTTGGTAAACATAGATAATAAATAACAATGGGCCTAAAATGCACCCTTGGGGAATATCAATGTTAATTTTCATTGGATCAGATAGGGTTGAATTAATTTGAACAATTTGATCAATTGTGTCAAAGGCCTTTTTCAAATCTATGAAGAGGGCTGCTGTTGCTATATAACATGGGATATTAACTGTGCTTCATAAACAATAACTAAACATAGCAAGCAACGCCTTAATAAATCTGTTATATCACATGGGTTAATATTTGTGCTTTGTAAACAATACTAAAAATAACCAGCTGCATGTTATTAAATCTATGTTTTATATCACATGGGTAGAGAGAGTTGTGTTAACACAAAATATACTGTAGCAAGCTGTGTCAAATGGTATCTAAATCTCTACATAGAATGTAGTATAAATCTCTGTTTAATTGTAGTACTGTAAGTGGTTTGGCTTTGCTTGTGTCCTTCAGGACTCTATTCATTTCACTCTATTCATTTGTTTCTCTTGCTATTCCATTCATTTCACATTTAGGTGTTTCTTTTGTTACTCCATTCATTTCACATTTAGGTGTTTGTCTTGCTACTCTATTCATTTCACTCTATTCATTTCACATTCAGGTGTTTCTCTTGCTACTCTATTCATTTCATTCTATTCATTTCACATTCAGGTGTTTCTCTTGCTACTCCATTCATTTCACATTCAGGTGTTTCTTTTGTTACTCCATTCATTTCAGATTTAGGTGTTTCCCTTGCTACTCTATTCAATTCACATTCATTTCACTCTATTCATTTCACATTCAAGTGTTTCTCTTTTTACACCATTCGTTTCACATTCAGGTGTTTCTGTAATTGCTACTCCATCTATTTCAGCTCTCCCAACGGGGGGTTTGGCCCCCCCCCTGATTCAGGGTCTCATTATGAGGCCTATAGGGGGTGGAGTTTTGGTCGTGAGAAATAAAATCCTGTTACTATGACAGGAATTGAACCCAGAACCCTGGGATTGGAAGGCAAGCATCTTAACCACCAAACTATTCAACTTCACTCTAAAAAACTAAAATCCTTCAAGGAAAATAATTTAGTGTATATTTTTGCAAGTAAGTATATTTTTATATTCAAGAGGTAAAATATAAATTATAGCATTCAGCCTAATCGCCTAATACCTACTATGTTGAATAATACTGGCAGCTTGAAGTCGCAGACCAAACAAAAATTTTGAAAAACGTAATGCTTCAATATGTCACCATGTATGTGTAATATTTACTTGAGTTTCACCTTCTTAATCCAACCAGCAAACAGTGTGAATTGAGGTCAAGGATCTACAGTATGATGAATTTAGTTAAATGTGAATACAGGATGTTTGTCACTGATAATAAGCCAACAACAGCCATGTCACAGCACCAAAACTTGATGGTTTATAATACTGTACTGTTAATTTGTCCCTGATAATAAGCCAACAACAGCCATGTCACAGCACCAAAAGCACTGCGTGACTTGATGGTTTATAATACTGTACTGTTAATTTGTCACTGAAAAGACAACAACAGCCATGTCACAGCACCAAAAGCACTGCCTGACTCAATGGTTCATAACTGAACTGAACTGAACTTTAATTTATTGGAACACTTTTGTATCAGTGGCACACACCATCTGGTGGTGCTTCCAAATAACAATTAAGCAACATTTCACAAAATACAAAGAAAAGATAAAAAAACAATCAAATATCAAAAACAATCAAATATAAAAAAAAACGAATCAAATTGATAGAAAGTAAACATTAATTTAAGTACGATGAAAGGAATATTCCATGACTAAGAGATGGGCTGCCCAAATCTACAAGGTGAAGCCTAGCCGAATGGAACAGTCTAATTTTCAGTGAATTACTCAATTACACTCAGTACTGAAAGGTCCACGGATTAATCTCAGATAAGAAAGTATAATACATACTCCAAGTATTGAAATACACGCCATCGTGTTGGGATTCAATAATTTCGACATTAATTATGTCATCATCAGGAATTATGAACACTCAGTACTGTTGGTCTTAAATTTAAAACACACCTAAAAAAGATCCTTGTCATTTGAAGAATTACAACCATAACTACCAAAAGTAATAATAATTGGTGATCCGCTACACTAGCGGATCACCTCTTGTTATTGTCAGGATCATCATCATCATCTTTTTTTTCTTATTCTTCTTTCTTTCTCCCCTTTTCTGTTCGCACGATATCTCAAAAAATGCCACGAGTTACGCAAAATTGCCGTCAGCGAACATTTGGCTTGGTCTGGAATAGTCATGGTAAGCTTTTCAAGGTGCTCAGTCATGCGTGACGTCATCTACGCGCAATTTTGCGTTTTTACATTATCGATCATATCAGCCTAACCAATTGCCATTTCGAAATCGTATTAAGTGAGCATTAACTTCGGGTTAATGTTGAATGTACAGTACTCTAATTTGACGCTTGCGCTTAATAACGCGCACGCACGCGCGCGTCAAAATTTTAAAATGCTCGAAATCAATTTATGACTAAATTAGAGCACGTTTTAGAAAATTCTGAGCATTTCAAATTTTTTTGAAATTTTCCACTACGCGCGCGCATTTTTACGTGCACAACACGTACGAAAGCTAGAAATTACGTTATTTTACATATTTAGGGTTCCTGACATTGTTTTCACAAATGTGCATTCTTTTCGGTCATCTTTTGGCCAATAGGAATGCCGTACGTGCGCATCAAACATAGGTATTTCGTCATTTCTGAATCATATTAAGTGAGCATAATCTAGATGTGTATAAGAGACAGCTATCAGACCGATAGTTCGTGTACTGTTAAGGCAAAATTCGTGTGGCATTACCAACCAACAGGGGGTTTTAAATTAAAGTTGACAAGGTTTAAATTCATGTGCCATTATCATCGTCAGGCACGTGGTTTTAGGTATTCGTACTTGTGCGTTACAATTTTAAAATTGTTAATATCACTTTTCAGATAATTTAAAGCACGTTTCAGGTCATTTTGAATATTCCAAAACTTTCCAAAATTTACGAGCCGTACGCTCATTTCCACGCCCACAGCACGTAATGAAGCTGGAAATTACGTTTCGGTTACATGTGTTGGGTTTGTGACACTGTAATAATACTACCGTGCGCACGGACGTTAAGAAGTGTGTGTACACATTCGTAAGTCCTTAAAATGCTCAAAATTACTCTTTTCCTTTAAAATTTCTTTTAAAATGCTCAACATTACACTTTGAATAGAGCATGTTTTAGCATATAATACTTTTCAATCAGAACCGTGCGTGCTTCGTGAGGGTCAAAGTACGGCGGATCACCTAACTCGTCCTCAGTGACGAGTTCAAATCTAGTTTGTTTCTTCCCTTCCTTCTCCTTTCATTTCCTTTTCTCTTTATTCTTCTTTTTTTCCTCCCCGCCCTTCTTTTTTCCCCTTCCCCTCCCCTCCCCTTTTTTTTTGAAACAATTCAAATGACAACCAGAAATTTAGGTGTGTAATAAAATAATAAATAATAATAACAATAAATGAAGGCTAAATAACAAACAACTTAATGACTACAAAGCTTAATACTACAGAAACAGTGAAAACAAAAAACAAAAACCTAAAAACTAAAGTACAGTTTAATTTGTATAGGAGGGTAATGCAGATAGCATCAAAGATCTACTAGTCCATGCATTAATTAAATATTCTTTACAATGGAAATCAAAAATTTGTCCTACATTTTCTATATACATATCATCAAGCATAAGGTGACGTTTAAATTGCTGTGATCCATTTTAAACCATTTTCATGAAGACTGTCACTATTATTCAAATATGCAATATCTCTAATTAAATTTAAACTGATAATTTGTCACCGATAAAAGACAACAACAGCCATATTACAGCACCAAAAGCACTGTTTGACTCTATGGTTCATAATACTAACAATGATATGAAATTAGTGATTAGATGATACTTAGCCAAAAAACTACCCCTGCCAGAAAGTTAATATATTATTGTTATTAATGCTAAATTATTATTAATAAATATTATCATCATGCTTGAATACACGCACAACTAATCTCACCAAAAAAAAAACCGCCAACCTAGGTATACACTCGACTCTGTGCATCATTCCCAAATTTTCTTTAATCTTTTTTAGACTCCATTGGAAATACGTCATATGACATTTAACGCCTTGGAATGTGTAACAGAAAATCTAAAGGTAATTAGACAATTTCCTGATGCAAACAACATCGGAATAGCTCATTACATTTCCAATACTGAAATTGAAGCTGAACATAAATAATACTGATTAAGTGTAGGTAAAATTGGATAGAGAGTTAAAAAGAAAACAATAGAACATTCACAATTAAAACAACAAAACCTAAAAGGAAGAGAAGGACAACAATCAAGAAAAAACCATCAAAGCACAGAATGATTCAAAGATTCAGAAACCAGAGGTAACGAAACTAGAAGGTGCACTTGCATATGTATTAAAATATGTTCAATGGGTGCCGTCTAGGGTTTATAGTTATCTTAGAAGACTTGTTCTACCAACATAAGAGCGAGCCATAGCAGTGATATTTGGTGATTGGTAAGCCTAAGTAAAGGTACAATACAGTACAGAGTAAAATTATGTACTGGTACTGCTACTTGTAGTCGTCTGATTTTTATACAGGAAAAAAGGTGACGTAATCTTAGAAATGACGTGTGCATATGTTAACCAAATTCTGAGTGAGAAATTGGAAAAGTTTATTTGATAAAAAAAATATTATGAACTACAAGGTTTGTGGACGTAAATTTGATAATACAGTTTAAGGGTACCACCATCTCCATAGCCTACAAATTACAGCTCACACTGATGTCAGTCGAGAAATACGAGTAATTAAAGTTTGTCTCGCAAATTCACTTACAAAACCAAATTTAAATCTAAGGTCCCACTTCCGACTTTGAATTGTGCTTTCGCACAATTGCCGCTGAGGGCGGTGTTCTGGGAACTTGGTGTTAAGACAATTATATTAGAAAGGAAAAAAACCATCAAAAAACAAATGCAAAAGGGGAGAAAAGAAGAAATATCACAAAGATTTACAAAAAAAGGATGCACAAAATTGAATTGAGAAAATATACACAATTTCAATATCGAAAGGCTGTGCATCAAAAATTACATATCAAAATTTCAGGGAAACAAAATTCATTAGACAATCACGTCCAATTAAACACTAGCCACGAAGTGCAAGCTCAGTGCTCTAGTGGTTATGACACCAGTTATCTAGAGGTCGTGTGTTTGATTCCCGTCCGAATCATTAGCAAGATTTTTTCGCAAGTACAGTATATGGGAACATACTGGGTATTCAGTTAAGATACACAACAGGTAGGGCAAAACATCACTCCTATGAAATTTCTGGCACAAACATCAAAATAGCATTGCAGTAGTCAGGGCAAAACATCTCTCCTATTTTACATGTGAATATTTCAATTACAACTTTAATATAAATATTAATTACTTAATAATATGTGTAAAATAGAGCAACTTGTGTAGCGCCCTCAATTGGGTATGGAAAGTTCAAAGTAGTAGATCGCCTAGTAACCAGATCACAATGCGTAAATTGAAGTAAGTTAAATTCATCATAATGAGATATGTAGAGATAATTTAATTATTATATCATGATTCTTTGATTCAGTGTTATATGCTTTGGAGTTTGCAATGACCTAATTAGAGTTAAGCTTTGGCTTAAGCCGTTAATTATCATGTTAAGGTTAAGACCTATATTACCATAAGTAATTCTATGCATAAACGTGAACAGATAGGGGAGACGCAAATGCTAGTAGAGAGTTGACCTTTGACCTTTATAGGCCTAGGATGGTCCTACGAATATTTCATGTGTTTCATAGATTTATTGATGTGGGCTTTGTTAATTATTATCTTGTTATATGTTTAACTACAGAACAAAACCATTGTGAGATGGATGAAACTGAACATAAAACCGACTACGTTTCAATATGTATATAACAATTTTCCATATTTAAGTATTCCATATATAAGTATACTTCTCAAATGTATTGTTTTTTTTACTATACTATATTATCAATTGAGATGTACAGTATATAGAATTTTCTAATTACAATTTTTTCAGTAGACTAAACTGTTTCATTTTAAATGTTCGTTTTAATATACAGTATTGCTAATTTTGTATCTCTTTTAATATACAGTATTTTGCTAATTTTGTATCTCTTTTAATATACAGTATTTTGCTAATTTTGTATCTCTTTTAATATACAGTATTTTGCTAATTTTGTATCTCTTTTAATATACAGTATTGCTAATTTTGTATCTCTTTTAATATACAGTAGGCCTATTGCTAATTTTGTATCTCTTTTAATATACAGTATTGCTAATTTTGTATCTCTTTTAATATACAGTATTGCTAATTTTGTATCTCTTTTAATATACAGTATTGCTAATTTTGTATCTCTTTTAATATACAGTATTTGCTAATTTTGTATCTCTTTTAATATACTGTAGGCCTATTGCTAATTTTGTATCTCTTTTAATATAC